ACGTTGGGTAAGGGCAAACCCGTTATATATAATGATATGTCATTCAAAAGCCAAGTGAAAACAGATCCGACATGTGTCAACATGTACAAAGATGTACGAAGATACACATAAAATTTGAGCAGCTGATTTTTTTTATCAATTGAAAGAAACCTTTAGGTAACAAAATACTACCTGTAGTATCTCAATGTTGATTATTTGTGTCACTACAATCAGTACAATGTCACCACAGCAAAGCCACGCAAGCATGGCTCACCATGGTGAGCAGATGCTCACGATCGCGCTGCATGGACAGCCCAGTGTGTGTCTGCACTCTGTGTGATCAGGATGGCCGGCCAATCACAGAGGCCTTGCGATGTGGTTTCGTTTGCTTTTTTTTTTTTAAAGAATCTGATTTTCCAAAGTAAAATGTGCTGTAACCGCAATCATTTCACATGCTTTATATGGTTCTTGGGGCCGAAAATCATGAGCGTTACATGTTTATCCCACAAAGCACTGTAAATGGGAACACTATAACCACATAAAAATGTACAGAGTGAATGGGCGTACAGTTGGAGATATGAAAATAGAGCGTAATATCGATAGGAGTGTTATATCAGGGAACGCCAGAACGGGAATCTACTGTATTCAATTCCCACAGGCCCAACATCCCATATTTGCTTGTAAACAAAGACAATGAATGCCAAATAAAACCAAAATTTTGTGCTTCCTGATGGGTTTCTCAAAATGCTCCTATATGTTCTATAAAAACATCCAAATTAAAGAAAACTTAAGCCCATAGAGAAATCTAACAAGGATTAACCCTCCTATGCAAAGACACATTCTAGATACAGTTGTCATACATGCATCAGTCAAAATCAGTCAAATTTCCCATATGAGTCTTTGTACTGGGGCAAATCAAGTGGAAGGAAATTTTGACAGTTACAGCAAAAGGAGGGTTTTGAAGAAAACCTAAGCACATGAAAAATTAACAAGGATTCATAAATGTGTGCTCAAATCATTTAACTGATCTTTTGCCAGTTTTCTTTATACATGCAATCTGTCACCACAAAATGAATTGAAAGTCAGGATTTTCAAAACTGAGATGTATATTTGAATTCGGCACAAAAAGAGCTTTCCAATGGTATAAGCATGTAACACTTGGGGTAACAGTAATGTGACAATGTGGCCTTATCCTGGTGGCTTTTTGCCTTTGTTTCTGACATTGTTTCAAATTGGTAAGAAACGGACATTTTTAAATCTCTTATCCTGCTAAAAAAATGGGAATGAAGTAGGACACAGTTTCCTCTTTCAAAATACCACAAAAACCCACAACTAAACATCCCCTAAGTTTTTTTACTTTGAACCACTGTAACAGGAAATAGTGCAGTGCAATTTTACGCTCATTTTGTCTTGACAGTTCACATACATGTATACATGTATTACATTTCCAAGATTAGCTGTGTACATCTGGTACAGAACAAGATACCATGAATAACATTCTTCAATTAATTGGAGGCTTTGCATGGTGGAGTATAGGTATTATTCTAGATTTGCAGAACTTCAAAGGGCACATTACTAATGACCTTGGGATCAATGTGGGAACCATTGGGAAGAAGTGCATATCTCTACCACACACTAATGCTGACAAAAACTCCTTACAAATGTTTCATAGCATCATTAGAACAGCTTAAAGCAGCCAAATTAAATCATGTCAAATGAAAATGTACCTGGGTTAGATGCAATGACAAGCTTCTCCATTGCATTGGCCTTGGATGACAAGGGTGTCCCCACAGGAAATGTGAACAGCTGAAAAGAGTACATCGGTACACAAACATTAAAGTGCAACAAATGAAGACTGTCCGTTCCTCAAACAAACATATTTCTGTAAATCACCCATATACTATGAATACATACAAGTATTGCAAATCTGATGAACTGTGTTTGGCAGGCCTGTGTTTGGCATTTCCAAGAAATGAGTTCATACACAAAAGCCTTCAATGGTCTGTCATTCAGAAATCTTAGGCACTTATTTAATTTTGCACACCAGTAGTTGAAATATTGGCAAAATGGTTCCAAGTTTAAATAAGTGCTTCAGTGAATGAGTAGCTAATAGTGCTCTTGCACCAAAGTGGGCTAATAAAGTTTGTCCAAGTTCTCTGCAAGTGATTTTTCTTTTTTCGATTATTAGAATTTTTAAAAAATATTTCATTTTAGCAATATTAGTACCATCTTAACCCAAAAAAAAGATTTTAAGATTTTTCAGTTCATATCCAAAAATGTAGGCTCAAAAAACTCTGCCATGTGTAGCCGTACACCTCAACTCCTCAAAGTTTTTTCCTCCAAGCATTTCTTACTCACTGCATTGTGACCAACCATGAAGCAAATATCTTAAACAACTCAAATCACAAATTCATACCTTGCCAATGTCAGTTTTAGAGAAAATATCTTCTCCTGGGTGTGAAGTCGCAATGCTCTCACTCTCCAATGCATACTGTGACAACAATTGGGAATTGACTATGAAATTAAACGCTCTCAATATTGGAATAGTAATACACGAATTAGCCAGAAAAGATTTGAAATTCACCAGGGGTGAGATTCGAGGAAAAGGAACTACGCACAAAGTTATCACTCACGATTTTGATAGCCACACAGTAGTCCATGGTAAACATAACTGCGTAATGCTAAACAATCAGTTTTTTAAAAAAAATTAAAAACTTCTAGCTTTTATATTTTTGTAAAATTAATTTTTAAGGGAAAAAACTAAAAGATTACTGCCCTCTTTTTAGTTTATTGCAGTTGTGTCTGATATTTCATAACCTCCTTCCTTAACCAAAGCTCCCAAGCAATGGTAGCAGATGTACATTTTGGAACTCTTTCTTTCCCCTGATGTACCCTTCTGCTAAGCTGTGTTGAATGCAACCATGTAAATGTTTACTTAACCCTGAAACAGCTGCGGGAGGGAGGGGGAACAGTCTGCCTCTGAAAAGTTTTCCAGATTATTTAACCTCAAATATAGATACCCAACACTGCTGCAAAATCGGATGAACTAATGTGTGAACAATGTGAAAATGATAAGTAGGAAGCATGACTAATCAAAAATCCCACCTTCATTCATGGATATTTCTTATACACGTTTGGAAATATGGAATTGAAACATTCTCCAATGGATGGAGAAACATGTACCCTCTCTCCAGACACCAATGATCAGCTGATCTGGACCCTTTTCAGACTATTTAACCTCGGATCGGGTCAATTGATGTTCATCCAACAGCGCATTTAGCACCAATTACAATTAATGTTCAATTTTAGAGGTGGGAGGAAAACCCCGTATAAATGTTTTAGGGAAACCCACAGACTCAGGTAGGGACTGAAAACCCAATCCACATGTGGGCCAAGCCAGATTCGAACCCAACTGCAGCGGTGGAACGTGAGGAAAGCAAGACTACTCTTGGAAAGGGGGGGCAGAATCCCCCTCCCTGAGATGGTCCAGAATAACCACTCTTTAGGGTTAAAATCCATGCAGCTTAACCATGCACAGTAGGCATGCTTTGAGCTTCAGTTTAACAGGTCAGCTGTAATTGACTGCACCCATATTGTTCATTCACCTGTCCAAGTCTGCCTTGAAAACCAAGACCTGCAGTGAACATCCTTAAAGCTGAGTGTAACAGATTTGATACTGACTTTTTAGGTTTGAGAATTGGCTTCAAGGCTTGGGTTTTTGTCCGTTTCTTTTGGGTTTTCTTTTCTCCTTTTCTGGTGTGGTACTGATCTCACTTGAGTTCAAAATGTTTTCTTTGGTTCACTGTGGGTTTAAGTTGGTTACAATTTTTCTTTTATTTGGGGTCTTTTACAAATCAGTTCCTTAGGTCAGTAGTAAAGTTCAATATAAACGAAGTGTAGTTACTTTACTCATTACCAATAAGAGCTTTTTTAATGCAATTAAAGTATTTTTTTATTTTTCCAAAATCAAGCACTATTCTCTTTGTTTCTATTCTTCAACAAATCTTGTGACTCATTCTCGCTCATTCTCCTGGCTTGTTCTTTGTACTAAACTTGTAAAGCTAACACATTGACTGCCACGCATAATTTCAATGGGAAGTTCCCATTTGCCAAGCGTTGAACACATGCGCACATATTTAACCACTTCCTGCCGGGGCAATTATCAATGTTGATGATGCTGGGCCGGGATATTTATCATTTTTTTCTGTTTTCAAAATTTTTAAAAAATTCCTATTTTCATTTACTGGACATTTACAAACAGGACTGTCTGGTGTCCCCTCTAGCCTGACAGACAAAATCTATTGACGCCTGAGTATTTCAGCCAGACCCTGCAGCCTTGTAAAAGTAGCCCAGATTGTACAGTTGTTACACCCCAGGTGACCGGTACAAGTGACCGTGAGGGTGCACATTAAAATCGTGACTCCAAACTACAAAAGAAGGAAACAGGCAGGCACTTGTAAGACATGTGTTGGGGTCGATGTTACTTCCACAAAGCATGGAGTTAGAATGACTCAGAACAAAGACTCCACACATGGCCCACAAGTGACCACACTGCCTTCCGGGAAGCATTACATAACACCGTGCTACTTCCTCTCTACAGCAGTTTCATGTCCATCACCACTCCTATACTGAACAGTTGTAGGATTATTTCCACTGTACTAGCAGCAAGCACAATCGTGAAAAATGGGGGGGCATGTTCTTGAGATAAACAATGTGTACCTATTCCAGGCCCCTACACGGTGTTATATAACTTTCTTTTGTTCACGAACCTAGCTCAGTTTGCTGCAGACCTCTTTTCAAATGGGGCCAGATTAGCATGCAGCGGCGCTGTGTGGCTCATCGTTGCGGTGGTGGAGCACTTTTGTCCCCGATGGTAATCCGCACGCTCTAAATGCCCCAAACTGTGGTATACTGTTTCAAAACAAGGCTGGATTATCACCATTTTTGAGAGTGAAAAAATATCAGTAATTCCCAGCAGCGCGGTCTTTTGTTACGAGTACGGTTTTTTGTTAAAAGGCCCTATTCCCTTTATCCGAGTTCAGAGACCCCGGCCACGCATATAAACCACACCTGTCTGGATCCGGAATCCCCGGCAGGGAGTGGTTAATAGGTACATGTATCTTTCCGGTGCTCATTTGGATATCAGCATTTTACACATGTGTGTCCTCAACAATGCTAGCAGCATATTTGTCGTGTTCTTTGGTGATGCCAGTGTATTCAGTTTACATTATATTACAACAGCCTTTCATTTTCCCACGAGTATATTTGTAGTGGCAGAATCAAGTTCACCTGTTACTACGAACTTGTATACTCATAAGTCAGCAGTCATCAGGTGCTTTACTCCACTGAATCCTTCGAAAATAATCCAACACCACCTTGGGGGGCTTACCAGTAAGGCCTGACCGTTCTTCCCAGGGGAAGTTCGCTTGAGTCCGCGAACTTTTTTTTAACAAAAGAGCACTTGACAATGACAACCGTACGCGGCAAGAACGGTGTATGTTAATCAGCAAACATGAATATTCCGTTCACTTTGCGTTCATAACGCCCTACCCAAATTTAGGTCAGGTCATTTAAATATCAATGTCAACTGGAAAGTCCGCAATTGGAATGGCTGATTCCATGACCTGTGTGTACCAGAGAGTCTGGCCAATCCCTGATTGGAATGGACTGTTCATTATAATCATCGGCTGTTATGCTAATCCGAGTTTGGAACTCCTCACATAAAAGACTGTTACAGGTTCGGTGATGATAGTACATGTAAGCCCGTGCAACTAGTCAAATGTACATGTACGTACCCGCAACAACACAGCACCCGCCAGGCCTCGCAGAGCATGCAGGAGGGTTGAGGGTAACTTTCAATAAAAATCAAGTTTAATACACATTTGATGTAAGAGTGGGAGAGCTATACTTTCCTCAATCCTATGAAATCCTTCTAAATCCACAGGGATTTTGAAGGATCATTAGGGCTAGATTCCATTAATGTTTTTGAAAATTCTGAGAATATTGGATGAGGGCAAAGCTTTATGTTGCTCTAGAATTGTCAATTATAATTTGTAGTAAGGAGACATATTAGTTCACAAATATTAAATCATTTTAAAAAATGCACTTTACATGTACTTGAATTTTGGAAAAAGGAGAGTCAAGTTTTCATTCTTACTTGTTTCAATGTCTTTTCATGTTCTGGTAACAATGGCATATCTTTGCCTAATTCCAATTGTGTGGATCCATCATCCACTAGTTCCTGCTCTCCCCGTTCTGATTTAGTTTCTCTCTCTTCTCCTTGTTGTTCATCATCCTCTTCAACCAGTTTGGTTATTCCACCTTCAACAATACCATGACGCAGGGATTTCTGCAGATCAGCAAGCCCTGCATCTTTTCGGTCCTGGTACAAAGCAATGATAGAATATACACGTACATTCACCTTTCATTACACACAATATATACAATTTCATTTCTATTTACAATGTTGTGGAATTTATTAATAGCTAAATAACAATTTTACCTTTCACAACAAATACTCTGAAGTTTCCTTATAAACGTTTTTGTAATAGGCTGTTTGAAGTGGTAAGTACCTGTGACCAAAATGGTGCTGGTTGTAGGTGGGTCACATTCAGCATTAAACAAGTAACGTAGGAAACTGCTCTGCTTATGCTAGGGCTTGTTTCTTCCTTAAGATCCTAACAATCCTCAATCCTTCAAAATCCCCCAGGCTGTTTTGGAGGGTTTAGGCTGCATGGCAAAATTGCACAGCTGAATGCAAAGGATGCATTGTCTCAAGGTTGTGGGTCAGACCTTTCGTTATGTTCAGCCATGCATAAATGCCTACATTGTTTGTGAAATCTTTCATACTGCTCCAGGATACAAAGTACAATTCCCACTGCCTCAACATAATGAGAGGAATTGCCGTAGGATTTTAAAGGACGAGGCAGTGGGCACCCCTACATAGAACATATTCGAGAAATATTGGAGGATTTTGGAGGACTGAGGCTGTATCCAATTTTGTTGAGGAGCAGTTGGAGGACTTTGGAGGACTGAGGCTGTATCCAATTTTGTTACGGAGCAGTTAGAGGATTTTGAAGAATGGAGGCTGTATCCTAGCCAAAGGGCCTAGGCAGTAAGGGTTAAAGAATCAATTAAGTAAGGCTTGTGGTTGCACCATGTACAAGGAGGAATATCTTCTATGAGTGCGTGTTTCTGAGAAGAACTGATGGTGAACACTCAACATTCCAAACAGTATGCTCTGTTCATCTTCAGGAGAGTGACTCCTGGATGAATTTATAACCTAGATACATGTACAATGATTTTCAGAACATAAGATGCAGCTTATACATTGATTCTCACGCTAGAAAATGTATCTGTGGCTTAAATGCCAGGCAGCTTATATGGCAAACGTTGAAGGGTAAAATCAGGCACAAAAGCCATGGCCATGCCACGTGTACCACGTGCAAGTGGCGCATTCATGTTTTGGTTGGTTGCCGCTTACATCTGATACCTTGAACCATTTCAAGTTATTAACACAATTTATTGAGTCATGGAGTCACAAAACACTTACTTGAAATGTGTATGTAATCTTAAACTTTATTTGCATTGATGTGGCAACATTTTTCGGTGATTATTTTCCCCCTTTTTAGTCATATCATGGTGCATTTTTTGCAGACAAGGCTAAACAGGCTTTTACATGCCTGGGCTGTAGGAATGGAGTCTTCCTTGGCTGGCATCCACAGAGGCCCCCATTGACCAATGTCTGCTGGAGTGTCTGCCTTGATTTGTTAGTCCCAGAGCCACTCAAATTTTTCAGTATGGCCTTGGTAGTGATCCCAGGATTGTTGCAGGCCTCTCGTACAACTTTTCAGGCCAGTCTTGGCATCATCTTTGGCTTCTGACCACGTCCCTTGAGATTCTTGACGGTGTGGACCTCCTTGTATTTGTTTTTATGCATGTCCGTAAGTATTCATACCCCACGACTAATAACCAGTGGCATAGCCTTTGTTTGCAATAACAGCCTTTAAACGGTTCTGATAGTTGCTGATCAAGTTCCTACGGACCTCTATAGGAATTTTCACCCACTCCTCTTTTGCGAAGGTCTCCAAGTCCATGAGGTTAGAAGGTCTTCTTGCTGCAACTCCAACCTTAAGCTCTTGCCACAGATTTTCGATTGGGTTCAAATCTGGGATATGAATTGGCCAGTCCAAAAAATTAACATCGTTCTCCTTGAACCATTTCTTGACAATTTTCGCCGTGTGCTTGGGGTCGTTGTCCAGCTGCCCCAGGTCAAGTTTCTCTGCCGACTATGTTTGATATTTTGCTCCAATATCACGATGTATTGCTCCTTTTTAGGATGCAATTAACTTTGACGAGATTGCTAGGCCCACTGGCGGAGAAATTCCCCAAAGCATGATGCTCCCGCCACCGTGCTTGACTGTTGGGACTGTGTTCTTCGGTTTGAACACTTCCCGTTTCCTTCTCCAAACGAATGCCACATCCTGTGCTCAAGAAGGTTCATTTTTGTCTCATCAGACCATAGCATTGATAACAAAAAGCTTCAATTTCTGTCAATATGTGCTTTTGCGCAGGTTAAACGGGCTTTTACATGCCTGGGCTGTAGGAATGGAGTCTTCCTTGGCTGGCATCCACAGAGGCCCCCATTGAGCAATGTCTGCTGGAGTATCTGCCTTGATATGTTGGTCCCAGAGCCACTCAAATTTTTCAGTATGGCCTTGGCCTTGTTGCTGGCCTCTCGTACAACTTTTCAGGCCAGTCTTGGCATCATCTTGGGCTTCTGACCCCGTCCCTTGAGATTCTTGACGGTGTGAACCTCCTTGTATTTGTTGATTATACTTTGTACTGTTACCACTGAAACTTGAAATTGCTTTGAAATAGCTTTATAGCCTTTTCCATCCTTGTGACCATTCAAGATGTGCAGCCAAAGGTCTTCACCCAGTTGTTTCTTCTTTGTCATGTCAATGGTTGTGCTGCTGACCATGAAGTGAGACTGAAAGTACTGACTCCATTGAATTTAGGCAAATTTATTACAACACAGCTTAAATGATTTCATAAGAGTAGTAGAAAATTTTGGGATGACATTCATACCGATAACCACTTGTTCAAACACCAACAAAAGCCTGAATTTCATCATCAGTCATGGGGTATGAATACTTATGGACATGCATAAAAACCAAAAATGTTGATTACATTTATGTAACTTTTAAGTCAAAAATAAAGAAACCAAAATTGCTGCATTGCTTTGTATTCTACAATAATTAAAATGTAATAAAGTGTTCTCAGTCCTCTATTTCATACACTAAAATATGAAAATATCAATTTCCACATAGGGTCTGAATAATTTTGGGCTTAACCATAACTTATTTATACCAAGATAGACAAACAAAATAACTTTTGGAAAGTTTGAATTGTCACTGAGAAATACATTGTGAAATCTGTTGCAACGGATTCGGGGGAAGGAAGGAACATTTCAAACGAAAGTAGATGGAGTCCCCAGAATGGCCAAGTTCGGAGGGGCATGGGTAAGGTTTGGGGTTAAAAAGTGAAAATGGAATCGTCTGCTCCACCGAGCGAAGGACAGCATGTAAAATGATTGTTTTCTGCAAAACTGTCTACTGGTTTGTGACATACATCTGTTATCATACTGATCAAATCCAAAACTATGCATAAAGGAATTCAAGACCCAGTCACTATCACCGTATCATGTTCGTACAATACATTCACATATCGCTTGTGATTTCTGTCATGTTCAGTAGTTTTGTGACGTTGGGCATCATTCGCAAAGTCTTCACAGATCGTTCGCATATCTTTCGTGAACAGGACTACGGAAATTGTGGATGTAGACTCTCTTCGTCAATGGCTGCTTAATGTTTGTAAATCCTCAATTATCTGTGTAAGGACAGCACTCCCAAAAAGTATTTTTTTAAAGAAATATGCACCGTTTGCAAAGAATTATTCGCATTAAATCCTTCACAAATAGTGTAGATATTTTTGATCGGTAGGGTACCATACTGTCTGATGTCTTCAACACGTAGTATTATGCTTTTATTCTAATGATAAGGAGTTGAATGTCTCACCTGAATATTACTTGTCTGCAGAATACAATCCAGTGAGTACTTGAGTTTCTTTACACTACTGACCGTAGTTAAGACTGGATGACTATATGCAGACCTCACAGGCTCCTATTAACGGATGCATAAACAAAATCACAAATCAATCCTACAATTCTATAAATAAATCAACAAATAAATTCTATAAATATTGGATATGAGATGTGAAGTATATGCAAAATGTCAGATGTGCAATGGAAACACAGCTTTTCCCAGGGAAGACCCAAAAATAAATCTTTTTAATCTTTGACACTGCAACCTCTACAGTGCACTGTCTGCTGCAGCTACTGAAAAAACGTAAAACACAAAAAGTTATTAACTTTCTCAAGGATGGATTTGCACCGGGAAGATGTAAATTAATTTTGGATTTTTTGCCCTGCCCAATATGTGAACATCTTATAAACTTCTTGTGAGCATGGTTAAGTTTAGTTCCTGAAAAATCAACTATCATGTAATAACCCAAATGCTCAACATTACTCACTAATTTTTGATTGCATTATAAAAATCAATCTAAAGATGAACAAACAGTAGATATGTGGACTCACCAAGTCATGTGTCCCCTGTTTTACCTCAATTGGAGCGTCTTCATTGAATCTGCTGAAATGTTTGTGAAATGTTCAAAAATGTAAAATGGAAGTAAGAAGACTGCCTATGAGCCTCTCCCCCTTATATACACTGTATACTGTAGATACATGCATTTCACTACAAGCAGTGCCAAATTCCAGTATTAAGCATTGTAGGTGTAAAATTTGCCAAGCTATAACACAAAAATTAATTTACATCTGTACATGTAAAACACAGCAAAACTTCATAAATATTATTAGTGCTGTAGCCGAACCGCTGAACTGAACTAAAAATCATTGAACATGGCACTTTCAAACCAAACTGAATCAAATCGAACCAAACTGGTTGATTTGGATGTTAGGCTTTAATATGGCATGGCATTACTAGTGCACATAATGCATCCAAGAAAACTTGATAAAAAAAGCAAACACAACAAAAAATGGATAACGAGTTACAACGTTCCGGCGCTAGCGCTCAGCATATGTGCATCAAGCAGCATGTATGAACATGTACACACGTACCGTTAATGTACACTATACATGTACAGTAAACTTACGGAGGCCTCACATCATGTAATGGTTGTAAAAGCATGTGATGAAAATTCACTAATAATCAACTTGAGAACATGCAACCTACAGCATTTCTGCTACACAACAAGTTTAAATTCTTACTACATTCAATTGTGCTTATGAATATTCAGATTAAGCACTATGTTTGCCTATCTCCGATAGCCATGCCCTTACATTCCACATTAGGCTACAATAGTTTCACAATTACGTCGTAAATGACCGTGCAAAACAAATTCTCATCGTGCTCGATCGAAAAAAAAAATGATTTTGCCAGGCGGGCCGGTGCAGCAATCCAGCAGATGACAAGATTTAGTTTGAGCGATGGCCTAGTTTGCCTTTCATTTCAACAAAATTGATCGAAGTCGTAACGTGAATACTGGTACGTTGTAATGGAATTTTGCCAGATCTCTAAGTTGTTCGCAAATCTCAAATAACAAGAATGCTGTTCAAAAAAGATTGATAGAAAATCGCCCCTTTGACCACGTGGGCGCCGTCCTGGGAAAGAATGCTGAAGGTCCTTCAAATACATCGAAAGCCATAGTTTGGTAGTTGAATATGTTTCGTGAAAAATCATTAAAACATGATTCACTGGAAATCTTATTTGATCTTGTATCCTTTGGAGGAGGAAACTCCCATTTGAGCATGCTGTTTTTTTCTGTTTTCACATATCCTATTATCGTTTTGTTGAGTCTAGCGTGTCCAAAGACAACCGCTTTTGGTCTGTAAAACACGGTCAGAAACTGCCACACCTCAGACGGTAACTTTCTAGGGAATTTTAACTCCTAAACAAAATTTGGGGAAACAGTTTGGAAAAAAATTATGTTCACATCAAAGTTACTCATGGATGGGTTGGAGAGGAGATTCATTGCTTGTATTAACATATACACGGAAGTACTATATACGGCATGTTTGTAGCCAGCTCTTCAATGTCTCAATGTGCATAGCACATGCACATATGTACAAGAGTGTACATGTCCGAACCCAAACCGAAGTTAGGCAAACCATTGCCGAACCAAACCCAAACCGAACCTTGGCACCTACATGTACTTGCAGCGCTTCATATTATGCATATGTACACACCGATAATCGTTCACAGATGCAATAACAAATTTGGTATGCTCTGGTAAAAGGTACCATAGCTGGATAATTAAACAGGTTTGGATTTTTTTTTTTCTAAAATAGTTTGACTGCAACTGAGCAGACAAGCTGACCAAGCAATAACATCAAATCTGCACATGATTTACATGAAAATGCAGGCATGCATACAAACTTGTACACATAATGCTGATACTGTTTGGCTGCTGTGGTATTTGCCAAAACAATGCTAGAACAAGGCTGTTACCTCATGTCCAAAGTAGTGATGTAAAGAAAATTGGCATTTATTCCCTCCCTGTTTTGGTTTCTACCTTGAAGTAGATGACTCTTGCAATAATGCAGCAGGTTGAACATACAGAAAGTTATCATCACTATCATCATCTTCATCTTGTAATAGACTATCATCCAGAGCAGCCTGGTTAACATCCATGCTGTAGCTCAAGGAGTCTCCTCATCACTGAAACAAAACTATACACTTTATACAGAATACAAATCACAAAGTCAAGTCTATTACAATGCTTGCCTGTTGCACTAAAAAAAGAGAATTTCCAAAAACCCATGCTCATTTCATGTTGGGTTTTATTACGTGCTAGACAATCGTGAAGTCAAACGTTTTTGACGAATCAATGCTTCAAACTTGTATGTTGTGCATAACTGCTTCCATTTTCATGATACTGTCTGCAATGTACCTGGTATGCTTCATACTCTAGTATGAACTGGCCTTCAAGGAACTTACATAAGTAAAGGCAGAACTACACGTAAATGATATAAAACTTTTGTTGAACTTGACTGAGAGCAAAAAAAAGTCTAAAAAAGGGTTGTTTATATCATTAGGCAAAGATGTTTACATCCCTTTTTTGAACACAGTGTAATGTATCAGTAAAAGTGCATACGCCCTCTGTTGGTGACAATAAAGGTGCCCTGGAAGAGGTCACGATCGGTGCATTTGAAAATGACTGTCTCGTGTCTTGTCCAGCTTCTTTCAAAGTTTGTTTCATAGCTGCTTGTCAGCAGATAGCATTACATGGTGTCAGAAAACGGGAAATACAAGTCGTAATGTCAGGCCTAAACCCACTAGGTCAGTTGCAACTAGAAGGGAATTTGGCGAAAAACTGGAAGGAATGGGTGCGGTCTTTCGAGCTGTATGCCATGGCAACAGAGCTGTCTAAGAAACCAGAACCGGTGCAGTGTGCAACATTTCTGCACGTGGCGGGTCCTGCTACACAACGTGTTTCTGCCACACTGACATTGGGGACGGCGAGGCAGACAAATTGCAAGTACTTAAAGCGAAATTTAAACAGTACTGTGAACCAAAAAGAAACCTGTTAATACTCAGATACATGTTTAACTC